AATAAAACTAAATATAATTCCACCAACTTTCAAAATCCACTAAAATTCGAAAGATAAAAAACAACTATCGTCCAGGAATAATGTTTCCTTTTCTCCATTTCTTCTTCGAAATACTGGCGAAAAAAAAGTTTGAAAAGCTGGATCGAAGCGTTATCCAGTTACCGTAAATAACCTTGCCTCACGTTAGCAATTGATTGAAAAAGGAAATCGAAAAATACAGCACAAAATAAAAAACAAATTGATGAAAAAATAACGTACCGGATACAAGAACCGTTGAGCGCCCTGTTCCACCACCATGGATCGCTCGCCCTGCCACTGGTGGTAGCGGGACAGAGATTCCGGGTTGGGACGTTGCCAGGTAGTCGTCCTGGTATTGTGGTCCACATAGTAGATCCTACCTCTGGGATCTCGTCGCATGTCCCAGCCTCGGGGCAAGGGCGCCGGTCGCTCCCACGTCGTGCTCTTGGTGTTGTGGTCCACGTAATACCGTCGACCCAATCGATCATAACGCATCTCCCACCTTCGAAAAAAAAATAAATAAAATGAAAGAAAAAGTGAAGTGAATTTCGCTCCGACTTTTTTCAGGAGCATGAACTTTCTTCAATTACAATCAAACCTCTTTAAAACGCCCACCAACAAATTGGTGATGAACTAATCTTCCTCAGGTTAGAAACATGGGAAACCTCGTTAGGGCACCATACGCCAACATTCTTGGTCAAAGAAAAATACTCTTTGGTATTACTTCCGTCTCCGATACCCCCAAAAAATCAAAATTTCAAAAAAATTGCGAATGTCCCCATCAAACATGGTTCTAAAATATCATATCGACTCAAAATCGCATCGCTCATAATACAGTATTACAATTTCTTTACCCTGGAGGAAGAGGCTCATTATCACGCTGAGGTTGTCCCGCAGGCGGCACTCTGGAACCAGCTGGCCCTTGTCGACGAGGCGGCACTGGTTGGCTGGTCGTCGACGAACTGGGCGTCCGACTCGAATTCCCGGCAACCCCGCGGTGTTGTTCGTCCGCGGGTACCGCGACACCATTCTGGCTTTCTGAACCATTACTGTTGCTCACTAGGTTTCCGTCCCGGGAAACCCCAACTGGTTGCACACTTGACGACGACGTTGTTGTTGCTGTTTCCCCGCCGTGCTCATCCACGGTGATCGAAACAGATGCGCTCGGCTCTGGCAGTTCCGTAGGGTTTTCTGATGATGAACATGAAAAATTACCATAATCAACACATAATTACCATCATAAAAATGTTTCATTGGAAAATGAATCCGCGTTTCGACAACAAGAAAATTAAAATTAAATCGAGGATTTAAACACATGGCTTTTCAATTCGCACTCGACCAAAATGCGTCACACATTCCATAGCATAATCCAAAATAACAGACGTTCATGTGATATTGAATGTAACCAGTCTAAGGCAACATCTATGCAACGGCTAAAAATATACAGTTTTCAAGTGTGCAGAGTCTGTACTACCAGACGGTACATATTCTAAAGAAACATCCCAAAGGTAAAACCAATTACCTGATTCATTTGATAGTTGCTCTTCAATTTATTGAAGTGATCGTCCAAATTTCCGCCAAACCTCCACAGTCAGTACAGTACTACAGTTTAACCTCGTTACGATAACTTGAACCTCTTTACGTTGAATTTCTTTCAAGCCCCTGTCTGTATTTCCCCAGAAACAATGCATTAAAAACCTCCCCAACTCTTCCTTTCCCTCTCAAAACTTCCAAAATTAAAGTATTTTATAAATACAGGAAAGAGAAAAGCAATAAAAAGCGTAACTTGTCGAGTTTTCAAAGGAAGTGAAAGAAGAATTGGGAAAATGAACCGTTGCCTTCAACTTCAGCATCCTTGCAACTCAATGAAAAAGCAATTTAGTGTCAAGAACATCACCAATTACAATTTCCTGTAATTCTGTCTTTTCTCGACAAGCAAGAACGCTTGTTTCTCTAACTCAACACCTCCCCAACTCAGATATTTGTTCGTCTCTTAAACTTAAAGGTTCTGCTACACTGTATAACTCTACTCGTTTCATATCATAATTTCCTTTCAAAGAAAAACTTGGAAGGACTAAAAATACTCACGCGACGAAGGCGGAATGTCCACAACAGTAGAGCCAACAGCAGCAGCAGCAGAAGTCGTCGTCACATTCATGGCGTCATTCGTCACTAAGCTACCATTGGGGCCACCAGCAGCAGGCACCGCGGGTGCAGCTGCTCGAGGGACAGGACGGATTTTCGGCCTAGCTCCGGCGCCTGCTGGAATGTTTCTCGCGTGCGGATTGATTCCCGGCGGCGGGGCGGCATTACCGGCGTCCGAAGAGTCGTTCTCCGATCGCGGAGAACGGGCCATGTAGGCCGGCGGTAGACCTGGTCGCCAGCCCAGCTGCGGGCCACGCGAAGTCTCGTTCTCCGTCGACTCGGACGTTCCGTTGGTGCCGTTGGAAATGCGCGACACGGACGCGGAGGAACGCTGTTCTCCGCAATACGATTCCCCGCCGGTTCCTGTGAAAAACCAGGTTCAGTACATTAGTGTTGTAGCGAGCCCTCGCGTAAGGAAACTGATACATTTTTTATGCGCTTCACTGCGCAAAATTGTCGTCATGCAAAACTTGTTTTTTAAAGATTACTTCGTGAATTATTCAATGCGTTCTAGAAAATCATCACGAGACAATAAAAAATTTTTGCGGTGTACAGCATAAAATAGTGAATTTTAAATTTACTGGTATGAAATTGAAATAATTTTGAATTTTTGATTATGCTGAGTTTGAGCTCTTCGCTTTCTGAAGTTCATAAATAAAAAAAAAAAAAAGATGAGCAAAACTAGATCAACCTTTTTTCATTTCCAACAAAGTTTGAAAAAAATCCAAAGTTTTACCTTCAATCAAAATTTTACTTTGTTAGCGTTTCTGCGCATCAATTTCGTTACGTGAGTCACTTTTCTACTCCCAAATATTGCGAAAATGAGAAAATTTTCATTGTTCGGGTCTTTCGTGATGCGGGGACCCACAGGATGTATATCCAAGACTTAAAATTCCACAGGGATAATTATGTAAATTCAAAAACAAGAGAATAATGCAAATCTACACCTTGAACAAGTCGGCAATCGGTTCAAAAATAATCTGAAAACATTTTTCTTACTGAAATTTCCGTCGCATTCATACAAATGACTTAAAAATTAGCCTCACCATTGGAAACTAAAGCAACTCCATCTGGTGGACCCTCCAGCACAACTTCCAAACGTCCGACTCGTCGAGGAGAACTGGACGGATCCGCAGTTTCCTTGGGACTCGGCGCCCGTGTCAGAGTCAGGTCACACTTGACACGGTCAATGTGCCCGCCAACACTCCTAATAATGGAGTCCACCGAGATCTTCCCTTCTCCCAACACTGTATCACGCCAAAAGCTATGCGACACCACATGGAACGTGATCAACGACGATCCTGTAACCAACCTGAAGGATAAAAAAAAATTAGTTTTCAATTGATAATTACAGTAGTTCGAAACGACATAAACAGTCGAGGATGATTTTCCAAACGTCAAATTACCGAATTTACCGGAACACATGCCTACGTTTTTCCAATTTCAGAAGCTCAAAATCTAGGGGTGGGGTATGCTCACAATTGAATAATTGTGCAATTGTCGTAAATATTCATATACATCAGGAAATCTTCTTCGCCGTTTGAGCACTGCTTATCTTTAGTTCTTTTGGAGAATCAGTAGAAAATGATCGAGAAGTGGTCAGTTTCTAACAGTTTAAGATCCATGAGTGATTGACTGAAGCGGAAGGGCAACGGTGGTGTGACACCGTCCTTTTTTTTACTAGGAAAAATCTGAAGTTCGTCATAAATCTTACATTCAGAGAATGTAAAAATGTGAAAGTCAGAAAACCAGGAAAGTAATTGGACACTCCGTTCCACTATCATTGAAATTTAAAAATTGTGCAGGAAAAATCTGGCGGGTAAAGTGCCGGAAGGGAATAATGAAAATTCTTCCCTTCTGACACTGATACTGTAGTCTTCTTTTTTTTATTGTTCATCTACTTCATTCATACTTCGAATGCTCTTCTGTGCTTGGTTTCTCTAGTTTTTCGATTTAAGAAATATCTATTTGATTTTTACTTTCAGCATTAAAAAATAAATTTCATTTTCATCTGAAATGTATCCTTCAGTATGTGTTTCTCGTGATGANAGAAGCTTTTCTCTTGGTTTTTTGTTTTGTTTTCATCAGTGCTACTTCCATATACTGTAACAATGTAAAATCATGCTGGGCTCATATCAGATGCAGCAACAACTTATTCTGATTATAGCTGATGATCTTGAATTTTTTTATTGTGTTTTGAGTTTACAAAACGAATTAAATTCTTCCCCATTGAAGTCCATGGAAAAATCAAATTCAGTTAAACTTTTGTGCAAAACCAATCAAGTTCCAAGGGTCCACTGTACTACCCCACCCCACGGTTAACTTCCCATTACGCCTATGCTGACCTACGGTAAGTCAAGTTTCTCGAGAAAAAAAAAAAAGTATCACTCACAAGGTGAACTTTTCGTCGAAATGAGGCTCGCAGGTGTTCCTTACGATCTCCGTCTTCTTGGCACTGTCTCCGTCGACCGTGATTTCCACGTAACAGTTGGGCTTAAGGATAGAAGAGTGCTGAAGACTGGCTTTGACGACGGTGACTTTGAGCTGGTGCCAGTGAGTCACTTTCGACGGCGGGCCCGTCGATGCACTCGGCCCCGCGCCCGTCGACTGCTGGGCGTCCATTCCCACCTCGCACTGGATTCCGCACAAAAAAAGTGAATCCCCCCTTCCGAGTTTCGTCACATGACTAACGGATTAACGCGTAATTTCCCATCCTGGAACGAGTCACCATTGAAAAAATTGAAGAAAAGAAAAATATTGTTCACGTCAAGACGAACTTGCGAATAGACTAGATAAAATTCGGATAAATTCAATTTAAGTTTTGCCTTGAAATTTCGACTAGAAAGCAAGACATTTCCCCCATCAAGGCTGCATGTGGATGCCTTCAATTCGAAAGTTCATTTGAAATAAGGTCAAATGACAAGAATTTCCACATCCTTGAGTTGAAAGGATTAACGAATACGTAATCCATAGATAAATTGAAGTTTCTTTCAATTCCCCCAGAAATTCTCAAGGGCGCTGAGTTAGGGATTTCTCGTCTATTCAAAAGAAAGTCAGGCGTGAAAGTCCATTTGAGTGTGAGATAATGAAACTAAATGAGAGGTTTTCTTCAAAGGCGGACTGCATTTTTCGTAGAAAACAGGTTTCCAAGCTGCTTCAAAGGCACCGCTGTCTTTTGCAAGGTTCCTACTTGGACCTTGCCCTCATCTTCCTCCGCTTTCGCTTCAGTCTTCGCATACGCTTCTTCCTCCACTTTGCTCGCATCTCACTTCACCCCGCGAAACAAAATCGCGGTTTTCGTTCTTTTCTTCCTGCAACACATGAAATACAATTCGATTGAAGATTCATTCTTGATGATAAAAAAAAACCCTCGAGGAGCAAACAAAGAGAAACGTTTCAAATCCACGGATTTCTGTATTTTTCTCAGCAAAAACGGATCCGGTTCGGCTGATCTTCGCAGTCAAGCGAAAAAACCCATGGAAATCTTCGGGCCTATTTTGATCTCGCCCTCATCTTCCTCCTTTTGCGCTTCAGTCTTCGCATACGCTTCTTCCTCCACTTCGCTCGCATTTCACTTCACACCGCGAAACAAAATCGCGGGTTTTGAATTTCCTGAAACGCATGAAATAAATATAACTCAAATTCGTTCTTGATGCATCGCACAAGGAATGAACAAAACGAAACGTTTCAAGTCCATGGATGTCTGTATTTTTGTCAACAACAAAAACGGATCCTGTTCGGCTCGTCTTCGAAGTCAAGCGTCAAAATCCATGGAGAACTTCGGGATCATTTAGATCTCGCCCTCATCTTCCTCCTTTTGCGCTTCAATCTTCGCATACGCTTCTTCCTCCACTTTGCTCGCATTTCACTCCAACCCGCGAAACGAAATCGCGGTTTTTCGATGAATTGTCTGCAACGCATTAAACAAATGCTGAAATAAATCCGCATTTTGGAAAGGAATGCGAAGATTAAACAAACAAGAAACGTTTCAAGTCCACGGATTTCTGTATTTCGTCAACAAAAACGGATCCAGTTCGGGTCGTCTTCGCAGTCAGGCGCCAAAATCCGTGGAGATCTTCGGTGCTACTTGGATCTCGCCCTCATCTTCCTCCTTTTGCGCTTCAGTCTTCGCATACGCTTCTTTCTCCACTTTGCTCTCATGTCTCGCACTCAACACTCACTCTCAACTCGAGAATTTCTTTGTTCTTCTGAAATTTGGAGAGACAAATTAGGAATACGAACAGCACTTTGCAGAAGATGAAATTATTCAGAGAAAAACACGACAGACACACTTTCCCAGATGTATTTCGGTCTCGAAAGTCAAGTGACGTTTCTGAAAGAAGCAAAAATGCAAACGCTGTTTTACTAAGCTTCATCGACGTTGAATTCATGACTTTTTATCGAGGTTCTCCCCTCGGTGGCCGGATGACTTGAGCCTACTGATAAAGATATAACGGAATCGCAACTGCGATTTCGCCATATCCTGGATGGGAGGCCAACCCCAACCGAAACTCCGAAGGCTTCTCGTTTTTACTAACGTTTATCCTGAGTTCAAAGAGAAGCCTTCGAAGCCCATTAAACTCACCATCATCACTCTTCCGGAACATCCATTTCGTCTGCGTTAATGGCGTCTATTACGTCATGCGGAGGTTTCCCATCCACCGTACATCCAACGGACTATAGTTAAATGAATTAAATTTTCAATCATTGACGGAATTTCATTGAACATTCGAGATCAGTACAACCTGGCAAGTTCCGAGGATTTCCTTGCAAGTGCCGGACAGCTTCCGTGCCATGCTTCTTTCTCGCATCTCTCGAGCGATGCTGATAATATCTTCGAAAGACAGGTTCCCGCTGTGCTTGACTGCGAGAATAGGGAGATGTTAACGCAGGCAAAATACAATTAGGAAGAGATAGATAGCTTACTGTTCTTCACTTTCTTCCGATCACGAGGCGGCTCCTTCAGGGCACGAAGGATCAACGAAGATGCTGAAGGTACTATGGAAACGGCGGCCTGGCGATTCTGGATCGTCAGCTTCACGGTGATTCGCAAGCCTTTCCATTCCTGGGTTGCTTTCGCGATATCCTCACCGACTTTCTTTGGCGACTTGAATATGAAAATAAAAATGCAATGAGTGAAAATGTAAACCACTTTTCAGCTTCAGGATACGAACCAGACCCAATGGACCGATTTTCGGGGCGAGAGTTGCAGTTGCTCCCACTTCTCCTCCGGTGGCTCGGAGATAGACTATGAAAGGAAAGTGATCGCTCAAGTATTGCACGTCACATGCAACAATTCAAGGCTTACCGATTTTAACTTCAGTCGGATCGATCTTCGGAGGCATGATTATCCGACAGTTTAAAACTGAGCACACGAATCACAACTCACTATTGCCTGAAACGGAAATTTAGACAGAACTTTAGGAATTCACCTCGTTGCATCAACCGTGAATAGAAAGTGAGCAGTTTACGTATGCGTTAAGTTCATGGAAAACATAACTCTCAGTCCACGCTCAAATCTAAGCAATCGAAACTCGACCATTACTCACAATACAACTACAGTATAGTATTGCGTCCCAAGCCACGAATCCCCAAGAAACTCAAAAATCCAGCATCAAATTCCAAGTTCAGCCAACTCAACTGAACTTGTTCTAATACTAGCGCACTGCCGTGTGTCCGAAAGATGGCGCTACAGTTCCTAACCGCAGTTGCCACTCGCCACTATCTGGACAGACCAAGTTCATTCTATCCAACTCCGTAGTTGATCCCT